ACATGGCTATAGTTACAGTCACTATAGTTACAGTCAGTACATGGCTATAGTTACAGTCACTATAGTTACAGTCAGTACATGGCTATAGTTACAGTCACTATAGTTACAGTCAGTACATGGCTACAGTTACAGTCACTATAGTTACAGTCAGTACATGGCTATAGTGTCAGTCAGTTTCGAGACAGTAAGCTTTACTGAGTTTGTCAGAGCGAAGAGACACAATGACGCAACATAGCCGTTTTTGATTAGTGGGAAAAACGCTAATAAAATCTGCCATAAGAAACAGATGGAAAAGGTCCCACCCTAAGCACAACAGATATGACCCCTACTACATGCTAAATAGAGAAGACCAGGTCACAATCTTTCGACTCCGTTGTGGCCACAACAGACTCAAACACCATAATATGTACACCAAATTAAAAGTGGGAGAGTCGGCGATCTGCGAATGTGGACACGACAAAGAGAAGAAGAAGAAAGTTTAGAGAGAAAAACGCTTTTATAAGACCAAAAAAAGGGAACAAATGGACAGGACAGAAGCAGGATAAATCAACTATGCCCTCCATCCATCCATCCATCCATCCACGTTGACCTTTGATAACAAGGAAAAGCGGGCACCCTAGTCAGGGTGGAATAAAAAGAAAGAAAGAGAAAAGAAGAACTAACCCCAAAGGCATACAACAGACACGTAATTTTTCTTTGTAATTTTTGATTGAATGAGTTGGGAGTTTTACGTCACTATTGACAGTTTTAGTCCTGTAAGCGCCATTTCTTTGTGATTCTCTTCCACATTTCCCAAAGTGGAGACCGGGACCAAAAAGATTGGGAAAGTCGGTGGGTAAGAAAGGACGGCTAGCTGTGTAGCCAGAGTGGGTCATCTGGTCAAGAGTTTCCCCACAAAGCCTGAGGTGGGAGCTCAGAATGAAAGGACTGACCGCGCACAGAGACAGAGTGATGGGGGTGCCCTCTGGCGGGAAACGTCCAGCTTACACACATACACACACAAAAACACACACATAGACACACACACACACACATAGAGACACACAGACACACACAGACACACACACACACACACACACACACGTACACACACGTACACACACATACATACACCCAGAGCCATTATCAAGTTACTACACACACACACAAACACACACACACACATACACACACACA